CTGAGAGATGATCTACGAGACCTATCCCTCCTTTCGGGAAGAGAAAACAAAGAAAACAGAGCCTGATTCGCAAACCGAGGCAAAGCATGAAAGAGTTCGAAAGTCCGGAGGCAAGGCTCGCAGCCAAGACTCTGAAACCTCTGAACGAGCACGATATGCAACATCACCAAGCGCTCAGTCGGTGACGTCTGAGTCTTAAGGTCGGTCAAAAATGGGGTGTCTACAACTAGATTTCCGCCACTTTGGCGAGGATCCTTATATGGAAGTAGATATTACAGCGACATCAATGCCGCACCCGAATATGCCATCCACTGAGCCATCAACATCAATCCCTCCACCGCATCCTACCCCACGTCATGCACATCAATCGGACAATTTCGATATGGAACACTTTGGTGAGGGGCCTTCCATGGGTCTGTCCCCTCATGGTCCATCTATAGCAATGCATACACCGCAGACTTCCCTACTGTGGACTCGACTTTCTTCGCGCAAGTTCTCTAAATCCCCAGCAGAGTCGCCAGAAACTGTGGACTCGGCTTTCTTCGCGCGCCCCCCTTCTAGAGAGGCACGAATTGGTCTCCTACAGTTTGAACTCCTATCACAGTTCTGAATCTAATCTCACAAAGTGCAATGCGAGACTGATAAACACCAAAGAATCCAATCCAGAAAATCATTTTTGAAAATCATTTTTGAATTAAATAATGCCAAAACTGGACTACTTTGCCAGATTACAGAGTCGCCACCTAAATATTTTGTTTTTGAAAAATTTAGGAAACCCTGACTTGTGCCAAAGGTCACGTGTCCGTCATCACCAAAGTTGCCTCAGCTTGGGAACTTGGGTACGAGAGGGGAAGGTCTTGAAATTAGCACCCCCGCTCGCCCGATCAAAGAATCGGCCTCTACTAAGCATGATGTGATGTTTTATAAATCTCATGTGTTCTTATCCGGTTATTAATCTAACTTTACTATGTGACGCACACACACAAGTATAGACTAAATCACAAGACTTAGAGCAAATCGACTCATGTTTGTTTTCGAAAATGGTTTGAAAGTGCCACTCGCAACTGGGCTAAAGCGCGGATTTGTTACCCTTAAGTGGGCTTAAAAACATGATTTGCCACTTCGAAAAGTGGGCTTAAAACTCACAATCATCGAATTGTCCCAATTCAAGCAACAAAACCTTCATCCGCAGGTATTCATGTAGTTAATTAAGTAAGCAAATAGTCTCATGGAAAGCATGCTAAACATGGCATCACTCACACTCATGCAAGTATGCTAAAGTGTAAAACCTACCGAGTACTACGAGCTAAAACAAAAGGTAGTTAGAAATAATGCATGATCCTGACTATGCAAAAATGCCTAATGCAACACATGCAATAATGTAACTAAATAGGCTCAACTACCTAAGATGGCATATGAATGCAACAATTTGATACACGTATTCAAATAAGTGTATCGAAATACAATGCAGTTTGAATGATACGCCGAGCCCGGTGCATACAAGACAAATGAATGATGCAAACATGCAAGCATAAGGTATGCCAATTGAAACATACCCTAAGCTAACTATCGAAAGCGGTTAAGTAAAAGGGAGAAAGAAGTGGGGTTGGAAAACATGCACACACACAAGCACGCTTATTACAACATTGCGCCCTCGCAAAGGAGGGTCCGAATAAATAAGCTAAGCTAATCTAAGCTAAGCTAATTATTATAAACCAACTAATTAGCTATTCTAACTAATTAATTACAAACCGAATTAAAACTAGCTATGCTAAGCTAATAAAAATATTAAAAAACTTGAATCGAATAAATAGCTACGCTAACTAATTGAAACAATTTAAATGGCCTCGAGGGTGAGGGACGCATGCATGCACGGTTGGCTTCCTTTCAAAAATCCATCGCCTTGCCTTTGGATGCCTCTGTTTGCACTTTGCTTTGATCTCTGAACAATGCACCGAATAACAGATTGCTTCTGCTCCACCTTAGGAACACTTTGAACAACTTTTCCACTGATGGCCGGTCGGCTACCATAGGTGGCTGTCGACCACTACTACTGGCCGGTCAGCCACTGTTTGTGGCGGTCGGCCACCCTTTCCCTGGAATTCTCCTTTTTGCTGCAATGGAGAGCAAACAGAGGCAAAGCAGTGTATTCTCAAACAATATATGTACCATTACCCTCCTTATCATTTTTCAAGCTCAAATGAGTGTAATACTTGCTCTCAAGCCATCAATCAAGCATTTTCATGCATGATGGCCAAAGAGTCAAGCTTGTACAAGTCAATGAATGCACAAATAAGACTCAAAGGACCACCACCCAATCATGCATGATCAAGGGTGATGGCGACCAAAAAATGTGACACGTTTCATCACTTTGAGTATGAAACGTCTCACATTTCTCGTGTTTGGATTAACGTCCGATCCAAACACATGCAATGCAACACAAATGCTTATCTTGTTCATGTTTTACTTTTCTCATTTTGTTTACACATTTTACATTACTGATTAATCCTTTAACCGATTAAGTCCAAAATGATTGTCCTCTAATGAGAGAGGGGCCAACCGAAGGATGGTTTAAGACATGAGAGAGATCTTGCCTTTGGCTAGGAGGAACCCTCAAAAGAGGGTTAAAGCCATTTAGCACAAGCTCTATAAGCTTAAACACATCCCTAAGGCTAACCAACCCTCAAAACAAATGGAAAAATGAAGAAATAAGGGAGGTTGCAGAATTTCAGTGGTAAATGGCATGGAAAATAGTACTACAACATGCAATCAACTCATGTACAACATGTTCAAAAGCCAAAACATCAAAGCTAGTGAAGAGCACTACACTAGAGGTAAGCAATATCAAGCTCAAATGATAGCACATGCCAAAACATGCCAAAACAGTGACTAAAACATGCTGAGATGATAGCACAAAAGGAAAGAAAAACATGCTCACATGTTAGGCCACAAACAAGGCTTAAGGCACAACTCTCAAAAGCAATGAAAGAGTGAAATATATGAGAGTGTGACAGAGCTAAGTGCACTGAAATCACATGTGAAATGATGCTAAAACATGTAATCAACAAATGCACAACATGTTAGAGGCCTTAGAACATAAAGCTAGCGAAGCCATTTGCACTACAACCATGCATAACAAGTCTCATATGACCAAGATCACTCAAAACAAAGCTAAAGCATGCTAAATCAGTAGCAAAAACATGCTGAGATCAAGTTTCAAAATGGTAGAAAAACATGCTCACATGCTAGGCCATCTACACATGCAACAAGACACAAGGAGGGGAGGCCACCCCCTCCTATTTTGGACCTCAAAACATGATTTTTGTCACTAAAAAACCTCTGAGTTTTAGTGGTAAAAGGGTCCAAAAAGTTTGATTTGAAGGTGATGAGAAATGGTGCAAAAAGCTTGACAAGCTAAAAAGCAAAATGGGGGACAACCCCCTAACTCACAAAGGCTCAAACCATCATTTTGGAACCTTAAAAATAGAGTTTTTTATGGTTAAAAAACCAGGTCAAAACAGTGTAAAAAGATGGCCAAGCAATTGATTAAAACAAAGCCTAAAAGGGGTAAGCCTTATACCTTTGAAGCACAGCAACAAACAATCCAAATTCTGAGCAAAAACCACCCTTCCAACAGTCCAAAATAGGTTCCAAGGGACCTCAGCCCAAAGATATGCAACTTTGGTTAAGGATGTCTAGGCAAAGGAGAGGTGTATCTCTACTTCTATGCACAAAAGAGCAAGAGAGAGAGAAGTCTAGAGACAGAGGATTATAGAGAGAGAGGCTTCCAAACTTTCTAACCTTGCAATATGAGAGATATGGCCTCTATATATAGAAAAAATAGAAGCCTTGGTCGAAAATATCAAGATAGAAATATCTGGAGCAATGCAGGACAGCTGGAGGAGAAATATCTGCAAATTCTGGGCTTTCTGGACATTTGTGGCCGACCGGCCACATTGGTGGCCGACAAGGATCATTTCTGGCCGACCTATGGCCGGCAAGCTCCATTTGTGGCTGGCACACTCCCCCAGAGGCCGACAGCAAAAACTGGTTCTGGCCCCTACTTCAATCAGGCATATCTCGTTCATCTGGACTTCTTTTCAGGTCATTCTTGTGTCTAAATTGAAGCCCCATAAGTCATCTTTCCAATTGTGGCAGCCTGACATCAACATTCAAAATGTTCTAAGAGATATTCCTCTTTTAGTGAAGACTGCTCAGTTTCAGCTCAATCGGATTGATGCCTAACTTTAACCAACCATATCTCCCTCATCCGACCTCGGCTTAAGGAGATTCTTGAGTGAAAAATGAAGTTTCGGAAGTCCACTTTCCAATGGTGGTGGACTCATAGCCGAAATCCAAGTGTACAAATGGATAGGTCCAATTTAGCGAGGGCTACTTGACCCTCTCTCAACGATTCATGCCCATCTTCTTCCCCAACTTGGTTTCTTCCCTCTCCTCTTCTTTTCTTCAACTCCAAACCTCTAAACAAGATGTTTTAAAGATTTTTTTTAAATAATTCACCTTTCCTTCATTTATTCCACTTTGTCCTTGCTCGGTTTACAAAAAAGCGCAACATTTAACGAAATGCGAGCCTTGGAACAACGTAGAAGCATTTTCAAAAATGTTTTCAAAGATAGAGTTTTAAGGTCTAAAATCTTTTTGGTCAAAAGGCTTCGGTCCAAAATAGGGTGTGATGTTAGGATTTAGAGCTCTTTTTGCTGAAGAAATCAAATCTTTGCACTGCACAACTTTTATCACCAAGTAAACAATCAGTTGCGCCCAAGTCTTAAGGGTGGTCAAAAATGGGGTGTCTACACCCACCTGAATGTACCAATTACACATCCCAGTTTGCCCCTAAGGTTGATCCTCTAATGTTCGAACATACTTCCACATACCATGGCCATATATTGGACCCTTCCTGGTCACCACCCCCATATAGGACAGCGATTGCTACCCCGATGACTCCCTTGGCATGACTGTCTACTACATGTCTGTCTACTATGATTCCCTCTGCGTCGACATTGACCGGACCCGACCTTTTCACGGTACCATCATCTCTTACCCCACCATCATCTCCTAGACCACATATAATCTTCACCTACCATGTTGATCCACTCATTACCCATGACTTCCGCATTAACGGGGAGGGGGAGGGCCAGGTCTGTACACATACCAGAGGAATAGGTAGGGGTAGAGGTTGTGGTGGCCGTTGTGGTGTAAGTAGAGGGCGAGGGTGACGCCGAGAAATAGACCATGACAATAATGCAGCGGATGATGGCATTTCACAGCTTAGTGCCGTATGTAAAGGTTTGCCGGAGGTGGTATCAAATGATTGTACTGCACCCATTGGTGATGTGTAGCCAGCTTCTACAGAAGCCAGCGAGGGAGTCGTACGTGCAGCAGCGCAAGATATACAGAGAGTATATAGTAAGAGACCCAGGAGACAAACCCTAGCTTCACATAGGCAAAAGCATTTGTTTTTATTATGTTTTTGGTTTGTCTCAGGTGGATCCATCTCTGTTTGGAGATGCACGTACTCGACTATTCATATATACAAATGTAAGTATCACTACTTTTGAGTGAATATTACTTAATTGACTATATTTCTTAGTAGCTCTTACAATACATTCTTATATGTTTCTCTACGAAACATGCAGGTCAATCTCATTGTTTCAATACAAATTGTCCTGGATTTGTGATTGTGGATATAGATATACCTCTTGGTTCAGCAATTGGAAAGGTCTCTATACGTGGAGGGACACTGGTTGAGGTGGAAATCTACATCTTGCAGATAAAATTTGAAAACTCTTAATATACATGAAGTCCACACCTAGACCACTATATTGGCAGATCACAAGTTCCCAAGTCATGTTACCATTGTGTCAAACAATTATTACACCAATAATTACGAAACAAAAATCATAATTAAGTAATTAATGGTAAAGAAATAGAATTTGCGTTCTTCTGTTGAATTATTCAATTTTGATATCCATGTAAAAATATATAGGACCTAGCTAATGGAAACTGGTGGCTTGGAGTTGCGAATACCAATGTTGGATTTTGGCCAAAGAGAATACTTGGCAGCAGATTAGCAAACTTAGCTTCACATGCTGAATGGGGAGGAGAGGTATTTAGTCCATCAAGCACTCCTAAACCCGCAATGAGGGGAGGTCATTTTCTAATTGAGAGCACCAGATATGATGCATACTTCAGGAATATTGCACTTAAGAGTCCAAGTGGAGGGGATATAAATTCTCATACATACGAGTTTACAAACAGTAGAAAACTGTATGATGTGAAAGATGAAGGAAAAAAAGGGGCTTACTTTGGGCATTTGGTACTATATGGGGGCACTGCGAGTTCCTAGAAGGAGAACACAAATTTGGTACTTTTAAAACTTCATTTTGGCATGGATTAATAATGTAAAACTGACCACCCCTTGTCCTTCTATATATATATATATATAATTGCATGTGCTTTACAAAACTTTTATTAAGGCTAAAGTGCTAAGTAGGATTACTTTTCTTACATTTTTAACAACAAAATTATTAAGTAGGCTTGTATAATCAAATTTATCTATCATATCATTTTCAATAAAAAATTTATTAACTGCAATATAGATTTGTCCAATTAATAATTAAACATCAATCTCTTTTTTCAATTATTTGGTAATTAGTTGAATTGTTTTTTTGAGGGGCCTTTGACTGTGGTTTGGGCTTTCCATTATGTGGGAATATAAAATTAAAGCAATTAATAATTGTGAAAATTATAATTCAGTGAGATAATTATAAAACAATTACTATACAGATTTTATTTTTTATTTTTTTTTTATTTTTTTGGTGCAACAACACTCAAATAAAAATAACAAAATTTTTCATTACAATAACAAAATTTTGGACAAAATTATATTATTCCTTCTGTCGACATATCAAAAATAACATTAAAAAATAAGAAAAGAATACATGAGGAAACATAGTTCTTTATGAATTAGATATGAATTATTTAACCATAATCCTCTACATGCCATATGCAAATTTCCCATCCCAGGACCAATATTTACCATCTTCTAGCGTTCATTTTATACATTCCGTAAATTGGGAAATAGCATAAAAAAAATATCTCAATGATACTGTCAAAAAGGAGAGGATCAACCACAATGGTGGGGATGGTTGAATTGTAACAAATCGCCAGGTTATATAATAAGCCCATCTCTTACGTGACCACATATATCACAATCGCAAACTCTCAGAAAAACTGGTGGCGGGCGTAACCACCTATACCGCCGGCGCGACTGTGCTGACCGTGACCCCTCCTCCTAGTCCATTGCGGGCAAATGCATTCACCCCCCCTCCCCCAGCTAGAGGACCTGAAGCTATGTTTTGGTCGCGACCCGACCGCGACTTCCAACCACACACAGTTGCAGGCGCGACGAAGCAATTCCAAAACTCCTAGGCTACTGCCCAACAGCCATCTTGAGGCACACCAACTGACAAACCTATCTAGAATGGTCCACGTCACTCACGACAACCCCGTGTCCCAACCAAAATGGAAACGGATTGGATTAAACTGACCCAAGCCACTACACCAACAAAGTAAGAAGATGAGAGAACATTGCTTGTAATTGGATGAACATGTGATTTTTGCTTGGCACTAAACTTGGTGAGAGAACTCTCTTTTGAATCATGCCTAGATTCAAAGGAAAAAAGATAAAATAACTTAAAAGACAAGAAAGACGATAATAAAAAGGAAAAGAATAGAAATGAGTAATTAAAATAATATTATGCTTTATTATAGAGTAGAGAAAAGTTAATATAGGGTTTAATTTTTCATTTCATGTTCGACATAAGTTGTATGTAACTCATCAGTTGTGGAAGGGATCTTGAATTGACTTAACTAACTTTAGTATTGTAAATCAAAGTATAAAACATGCAGCGAATAAAATGTTTAGATCATACCTTTAGATGATAGAACCTCGTGGATAAATCACGTGCTTCCAGAGTACTCATAAACCAACCCAGCAGTGAAGTGATATTACAGATTGAATATCACCCACACAAATCACAGTGCAAATGACTTGATCGTTGTTTTTTGGGAGAGAGTCAGTATATGGGTAAAACTCAGATCATACGTTGTTTCTCTCTTAATCACCCATAACCCATATACCAGATATATAATGTGTTATTATTATCTATCCATATCAGTAATGGAGATAATATATGTATCCTGAGTGGTTATCCTAAATAGGTTTGAATTCAATTTCAAAACCTATTTGGATAGGATTCCAAATTCAAATTCAAATGGTCATGCCACATGGGCGCCCATTACTAACATCTCCCACTCGCACATGAGTTGGCATGACACTGCCACATCTCTATCTCAATCTCCCCAAAAATGAACAATCTCATACTAGCCAATGCACCGTGCGACCGCTGAGAACACCTGCATGTGGGAGCTCTATACTAGAAACTCAATATGAGCCAGTATAGAGACATCAACCCAAAAAGAACAGAAATAGTGTCTCATATACCCCAGACCCATCTAATTACACCGGTCTAGAAAACATCTCTAATCCCTCAAAAGAGCATGTTTGACCCTCTCAATTCTTACAATATATTCACACTCAATCCGCTTCTCATACAAAGCGATGTGAGTTGCCGGCAGTGAACATACAACAGTGGTGTAATACTAGATGATCTTCCCTTTGCCCTCATGCCATTTAGTTTAGGATTAATCGCTTTCCCAGTGATGTCCCTTAAGGCCAAATCATACATGACCGCAGGCAACATACCAAAGTAGCAGAACATCAACCCCTTACCTTATGACATAGTCAAAAGTCACAAAAGGGTACATAAATGAAAGTCATATCAATAATGACACGTAAGACTCACACGGTGAGGAAGCAGGGATCCATTCTCTCACCTCATTACTCGATCGCCAAGCATATGTAGCATGAATACATGTTACGGTGGAGTAACTCTTTCAAAAGAGTGACGTCATACTCGATACACCGTACAGATATTAGTCTAGTCACTTTCTAGCGC